CCCAATAAGTAATAATAATAATAAGTCGCTTTGATTAGTTTGCATATCATATCTGATTTAGCAAATTTCGTAGTTTTTGATTGCTTTCGTCAATGGATGTTTTGGCATGAAATATGTGTATTTACTCTTTGGTTTAACTTATGTTTTAAGAACATGGTTAGCTTTCCTTTTTTAATTAGATGAGGTAATGAAAGCTACTGCCACCAGTCCTCAGCTCAGAGGAGGGGCCTCTGCAGAGCGACACACCTTTCAATTTTAGGATGTCTCCTCACAAATGTTCCTCTGGTTTACGTTAGTTTATAGATCACCAGGCATTACTCAACTGCTAATTATTCTGATGACTACAAAAAAAACCTTGCTATTTTGAAAAAGCTACTTTCCATTAAACATCAAAGAGAAGGAAAATGATTTCTCTAAAATTTCATCATGAATTGTTAGATCATAGGATTATTTTTATGCCCTGCACCCCGTCTCATTTCCTAAGCCAGATGGGGGAGTACCCTGTTCGGGAAGCCCCACTGCCATGTCAAACGAAGCATCATGAACAATAACTACCTACTAAGTACTGGTAAATGTTAGTTTACTGGTTCAGTGCCATGAAAGCTCTTGCCTGTGACAGGCAGCTAATATTTGTGTGGTATCTAGCAACACAGCATAGTCATACTTGTAAGACAACTGGATCTCAGTTATCCTCAGGCACGATCCCGAAACATACTGCCTGGTTTCAAAGGCAGGATCTCAGCTGTTCTAACACGTCATCTGCTTTCGAAGCTTTCTGCTTTGTCAGGTTACACTTGCGGCTTGTAGACCCAGCAGCTGAGAAGCAGGTCTATAATATTAGCATGCACAGGCAACTGTCCAGAGCATTACGGCATGGGACAGCACAGTATTTAGTGATTAAAACTTTTAAAGACCCAATATGAAATCTTGTACATTGTTAATAGCAAGAATGATATATATATCGTTGTTGTTGTTGTTATTTGCCGTCGAGTCGGCCCCAACTTATAGCGACCACTCCTTGGGTTTCCGAAGCAGTATCACTATGGAAGTAGGATATAGATATATATAGATATATATAGATATATATAGATATATATATAGATATATATATAGTTTTGTTCCAAACCAAACCTACTAGTCTTTCTCTTTCTCTTGCAGAGTGGCTGGTTAGCAGCCCAATGCCTTAACCACAGTGCCACCAGGGCTCCTTTTAATTTTGTTCCATAACTATGTAAGTAAAAACATTATTATTAAGAAAGAAAGTACTAACATCACATGGCGTGTGTCAGAACACCTTTCTTAGTCACAGAGAATAGGCTTGACTGTGGTAACAATTTGGCAGATGGATTAATGAAAGAACTCCAAGGAACTGTGCTTTTTATCTTCTGTAGAAAACAACAAGGAGCTTTGGTTGGGCTGTGGTTAAACCATGGGACTACATGTATATAGACGGAAAGCATATGTTCTTTGAATCGGAAGAGCCAATGTAGAAATCCTAAACCAACTCTTCTTTTTGCTTATGAAGGTGTGATTTAGCTATTAAAAATAATAATACCAATGACATTTGGATGAGTTTAAGTGGCTTTAATTTCACCTACTTTCTCTATCAGTCTCCATTTCAAGTCTCCATTTCACAACTCTGGGGGACCACCTTCTAATACAGCAAACTTATCAACTCACAAAGCCCACTGTCCCCTTCAAAGAATCCCACCCTGAAATGTGACTCTGTGTGTGGGGAGCCTTCCTTTGGAGACACTAAACTTTTCCCATATGCTGGTTTTGCTCAGCGAGAACACTTCTGTGGGTCCCTTTAGGTGGTAGGTGGCATTACTCAGCAAGGGATGTTTTCAGACACAAAAATGAAAAGGCAACTTGCCAAGTCAGGGGATGCTGGCCGATGTTGAAGAGGTGTGCCTGTGTGTAGGAGCATGAACGGTAGGTTTATGGGAAAAGTCACAGGGCAGTTTGGGGGGCATGGGTGGAGCTACAGGCCCAGCAGCTGCCTGGACGGTGTCCTGGTCAGTTAACAGCCAAGAGAACTGGGTCCAGGCTGGGGACACTCATTGCTCCACCTTCGGGTTTGAGCAGGAATTCAACTCCTCCAACCTAGGCACTGAGCAGGAGGCCACTGGGGATCAAAGACCAAAGAGGAAAAGTTGACTTCCAGTAAGTCTGCTGGCCACCAGTTGAAGGTGGATGAGGGAGGAGGGGCACCAAGGGGTAAGAATCGCCCCTCCTCCCCAGCGCTGGATTTCCTCCCTGAATTTCAGGTACCTCATTCCTGATGCATAGACTACTGGCTTTGCAAAGGTCTGGCTCACCACTTCCGTGGCCAAGTTACAAAGTCTGTGTCTTGCAAACAGACCTTGGCGGAGGAGGGGTTGGAAACCTGCTAGTGGATCCATGTAGCCTAAGGCCCAGTTTTCATTCCTCTGTCTTTAAGTTGCGATTAAGAAATTCAGTCATTTCCCTCAGTTTAAACATGTCTGTTTCATTGAAGAAATTCAACATTTTTCATAAAGAGACACTTATGGATATGAGAACAATCCCAGACTATTTTATTAACCTTTAACTGCTGACTCCTGGCAATGGTCATTTCTCAAGCCCCGTCCCCACCCCCCAACCCCCTACAGGTGACCCGGATCCACGGGAACGTTTTCTGGCCTTTTTATCAGGAGAGCCCTCTATTAACCGGCCCCTCGCCTCTGCCTTGGCTTTTTCTTGGCCACTTCCGCCGCTACTCCACAGCCTCCCTCCCAGCCCGGGGCCCAGGAATCGCTCCTGGGTCGGACTACTGCCCGGGCTTGGGCCGGCTTCCCCTCGCTCGTTTCACGGTACGTACGTGGGCGACTCGCCGGCTGGCAGACGTCCTGGGCTCTCCACCCTCACGCCCCTTTCTCTTTTCTCAAGCTGCGAGCTCCTCTCACAGGCGTCTCCTTCGGGTGGAGTGGCGCTGCGGGCGGGCGCGCACCATCTTCTCATCTCTAAAGTCTCTTTCCTTCCCTTCCTCCCCGCCCCGGCTCCCACTTTTTACCAAATGCACCCTCACTCGCTCCAGCTCACCCCGCGGTGCCGAGGCCCCACGGCGTGGTAGAAGGAGCCTTGCAGGCTGCATCCGGGACCAGGGGACCCTCTGAGGCGGGGTCCCCTTCTGACCCCCATCTCAAAGAGGGAAGGAGTCTCCCGCGCTCTCGCGGTGCCGGGTGGGGACCGGGCCGCCCCCCGACTCGCGGCTCCCAGCTCCGCACCCAGCCTCCGGCCTGCACGTGGGCGCCCGGCGTGGCAGCAGCAGGTGCGCCAGGGAGGGCCTCGCGGGCGCCCCGCCTCTCTCCGCGCCTTCTGGGGCGACCCCCGACTCCGCGGCACCGGGTCTGTCTGCTCTTCTTCCACAGCCCGTCCTGGTCCCAGCGCCACACTGCCATCCTCCCGAGAAGAGCCCAGCCCCCGCGGCGAGGCGCGAGGCCCCGGGAAGGCAACCGCGGCGGCGGGGTGCCCCTCCGAGGCCCCGCCAGGCCGGCGCCCCTCCCGCACCGCTCCCACCCACCCGCGCGCGTTGGCTTTGCCCGCCTGGCCTTCCGAGGTCTCCCAGGATCGCGTTTCCTCCCCGAGTTGAGCGCGCCCTTGCGCGCGCGCCGGAGCGGGGGCAGCTGGGCTACGCCGCCGCGACATCACGGGTCCGCAAGAGCGAAGGTGCCCGCGCGCCGGCTGGGGCTCGGCGGACCCGTTCGGTGGGCAGCCCGGTCTGCGGGCCCGGGATTCGCGGCTAAACTTTGCTGTCGCCTTCCCCCCTGCGCCCAGCCTGGGTCTGCCAGCCGAGACCCGAGGTAAGGGCGCGCCTTCGCCGGAAGGAGGGCCAGCCTTCTCGGACAGACCGACCATCGGGGCAGCAGACAGACAGCACGGTGTGGCCCGGAGGCGGTGAGACACCGCCCCCCCGCCAACTGTCGCCGAGGCCCCGCCCCTCCGCTCTTGGCTCCGGCGCCGGGACCTGGTCGCGATTCGCCTGCGCCCCGCGCGCGCCTCGCCCGACTGGCCGGTGACGGCTCCCCGCCTTTCTCCCAGATCCCGGCGGGGATGTCCTTGTCGCCGCCCCCCTCGGCGGCACAGCAGCCCCGGGTGCTGGGCCACGAGGAGCCGCTCCGTCTCCCCGGAGGGGCGCACGGCCCCCGGCGATGACTCAGGCGCCCACCTGGTAATCGGCCGCCCCGCTCCCCCTCCCCTGGTCCACGCCCCCTCCCCGGCCCGCAGACGCCCACCCGCCGCTCCTCGCTCGCACGATCGCAGAGGCGCGGACTCGGCGAGCCCATGCCGGCCCCCTTTCCCGCGGCGTCCATGCCTCAGCGGCGGCGTCCCCAGGGCCGGGGCG